TATTTTTTGCAGATGTTTATAGCTGGGATATTTGGGGCTTTTTAAGGGGGAATTTAGGTGGAGAGTCAATATATAACATGGATAGCTATATAGACAACAGCTACACCAAATTCAAATTCTTCATGTTCCAGCTTGGCTATTTTTTTTTTTTTTTTTTTAATGTACAAAATATTCACTGTCACCAGATATTTGTTTGGTTTATGACAACACAACTTAAAGTAGACTTTGAGAAGTAGCAACAGTATACAGATTCATATGTTTTCTTATGTTCCAAATACACTCATTTTCTGAATTTCACAGCCTTATATAAGTTAAAACTGAATTATAATGTGATAATTTTAGCTAAAGATCTTTACTAGACATTCTATTACTGTACTTAATAATAACTCACCTGAATAAATTTGCATTCTGGAAAGTTTTTGGACTAGTCTTCTATGGCCTCATATCCCCTGGAAAAATTGCTAGTTAGTGGTTATACACAAGGAACTAATGAAATCATAGTATAGAAGAAATAGAGGTGACTGGCTAGGTCTTCAGGTCCAATTTCAGATTATTGTCCACAGATGAAAAAATGATGGGTCACTTCAAAAATCTGTGTAACAGCCTTCTTAGGTCTGCAACAAAAGACCAAAAGCCACACGTAGAAAGAACCATGGTTATAATATAATAGATCAAGAGCATTGAATGGGTCAAGTACCAGAAAGTTTATTTGTTAATCAAATTAACTAAAACTCCAAGAGCAACCTGAAAAGAATGACAAGTTCATAGACCCTGCTAAAGTGATTTATAGTCAGACTTACTTGCTGGCTAAAAGCTTTCGTGTCACCTTAGTAGTGGAATTGTTAAGAGCACAAAACAGTCAAAGGAGAATCAGTGCATGCTGTTACGGTTATCCTATGGTTCATCTATCATGGTACATGATAAAATATATCTCAGGAGAGAGAATCCTCTCTAGATGTGACTAATCTCTAATGCTTTTGAGAAAAATACAACACTACCATCTACATTCAGAAATCAAATTCTCATTAGAGGGGAAAACCCCCACAATCTTATTGCTTTGTTTCAGAGTGAAGTTGAACAGAAAATGTGCATAAGGCAACATTACCCAAACAATAAGAACATGTTGTTTAACTAGCTTTTTATTGACTCAAGCCAAGATTTGAGTGATGGATTTGAATTGATTTGAATCACACTTTAATAAAGTAACTCTGTGGAAGTGTGCATGACTTCTTACAAATACTGAAGAAATTAATAGTATGATATATACAGCTTCTGTAATAAACTATTTGATTTATGGCTACACAAATAGCTTGAGCAGATAACAAAACCCCTCAACTGAACTGTGACTGAGTCTCATGAACAATATCAAAGGATATATGCTCTAATGTATTGAGTCATACATGAGTAATAACAGTGAAGAGAAAGGAAAGTAACACTTTTCTACCAGCATGATGACTAAGTCAGTGATTTAACATGACTGGAAAGCATGAAGGTATCACTTTCTTCAAACGAAGAAGGATGAGGAATAAATTAGTAAAAGATAGACTCTGTTTTCACCTTGTACAGCAGAATGTTGCATATTAAATGTCCGACCTCCATGGAGACATTCTTCACATCTTTCCCCAGGACCAAACATTTAAGACATGAAATGGCCTTATGTGTTCACTTTCCATTATTGGCCAAGGAATACTACATGAAAGGGTCATAAATAAAGAGGCTTAGTGGTGGTTTCTGGGGACTATTTTGTCAGGGTTTTGTTTTAGTCCCTCATCCTCAGGGTACACAAAAGTGAAAAGGAAAGATTACTACTTCTGAGTTTCTTTCAGTTGATATTTAGGCATAGCAGCCTAAATGCTAGTGCTTGAGTTACTCAGAGGCTTAGCTAAGCCAAAGTTGTAGAAGTACTTCTTAAACAAGGTTAAGCAAACAGTTGTCATGCTAGAAAAGCCATATGGAGTAGGCAAAACAATGGTGTGCATAGAAGCCATTATATTTCTACATATAGATATACTGCACAAGAACTTTCAATTTGATGTTTTTATCAATTTTTTTAATGAAAAGTTTCACCAATTTTAAGTTCATGATTTATTATATAAACTTTCTGACATGAGTAATACAGTTAAATTAATAAGTGCTGTTCTGTTTTTAAATATTGGCTGCACTACAGTAATGGCACAGGGACTGATGTTTTTACTAGAAATTATCACAGAATCCAAAGAAAAATGTTGTTACATTCAAAACACGTTTTAATTCAACAAACAGTTATTAATCTAGTAATTTCATAAAATGCTATGGGACATTGTGGCTCTTGGCAATTAGCTTCCAAATTAGACATGGAAAGAAACAACAAAGAAACATTTAGTCCACCTAAATTCTACCCAGGAAACCAGGATGCTTAAATTCCACCAAAATCTCAAGCAGCAAGCCAGAAAAATTACTCCACAGTACCATCTGAAACTCATATGTGATAATCATATCACGAACACGTAATATAATCTTATCAAATACGCATTTCAGATGGTACTGAAGGGTAAGTGCATAAAGAACTCTACATACTTTTGAGATAAAATTAGATGTAACTAACCTGTAAGTTGAAATATGCATGTTCTTGGTCACATTTTTTAGTAGAATGATCAGGAAGTTATTTAAATCCTTCCTAAAGTTTATTATTTAGATATTGCTGAAGAATTTCCAAATCACTCCATTCTTAGATCTGAAAAGTTACCATGTGGTGAAATTTTGCGTAACATCTTCAGGGTTCATTCTATAGTGAAACTGCTTAATAATAAGCTAACAGTTTCCCGAGGAATTAGACATTTGAGTACTAGACTTTTCTCAGGTTGCCAAAGATAATCACTGTAAGTCCTAAATTCTAAGAGTGCCCTAAGCACCAGGGTGAAAACAGTGTTTCAAACTGTACCACTTAAAGCCAAGACTGTAAGAAAAGGTAAGAGACATCAAACATTCATCTGGATAAGGGTGTTTCTGAGAATTTCTGACATTCCTAGATTTTATCTGGTCCAGTATAAAATAAAATTGCATGACTTATTTAGAGCCATGCTGCCTAATATAGGCAGTCTGTGTTCAACATAACCATAAACTACTTATTACCATCCCTGAAGGTATTTAAAAGGTGTGTAGATGCGGCACTTGGAGATACAGTTTAGTGGTGGACTTGACAGTTCTAGATTAAGGGTTGGATTTGATGATCATAAAGGTCTTTGCCAACATAAACAATTCTAGGATTCTATGACTAAACATTTCAGTGCTGAGATTAGGTAGTTAATTTGGTCAGAGGTGGTTTTAGTCTTACATCTAAAAAGACTCCATAGGATATGTAGTTCTTTTTCACTATCAGAATATCTGTAAAACTGGTATGAAAAGATCTAACTAGTCTCCAAATTAAAAAAAAAAAAGAAAAAGAAAAAAGAAAAAAAAGCTTTAAAAAATACTGTCTGGAACCAACAGAAAGAAACCCCTAAACAATCAGATTCCAACACCGAGCAACTCAAGCTTGTTTAATGCAAAACAAACAGAGAAATGAGAAACCTCTTCAACGCATTATACCACAGAGAGCAAAATTATGACAATATGAAAAATTTTGCCAGTAAATACCTCCTAGGGGTTACATTTTGCTCCTTAAATTTATCATATCAACAGATGACTCAAAATTTTTAGATCAATGTTATACAGAAAGAAAAAAAAGCCAATATATCAGAACCACAGCTTACATAGATCTGTATATTACCACCCATTGAGATGATGGTTTTTGTGGAAATATCTGGCAAAAAACCACTCTCTTATCTCACTCTGATTATTAGAAGTTTTTCAGGGGGAAAAAGAGGGACAGGAACATTTATGGCTAACAATTTGAGATGAAGTCACCAAGTGTTTCTTAGTGTGAATTAATAAATATATGTACAAATAAACACACGCATATCTGTTGGATTGAATGCTAGAAGGATATTTGCATGTGTCTTCACGTTTCATGTAAATTATTGTGTCATTATGTCTAACTATGTCAGTAAATTAATTTTATGTAGTACTGATTTTTGTAAAAGCATTATTAAAAAATATTTTTTTTCTTTGTTTCCTGGTTACATATTATTCAGATCTATTATTATTATACATATTATTATATCAGGAAAAGAGAAGAATGGATCTTACAAAAATATAATATTTTTGTCCTGGGGAGACTGATGTAAACGAAATCTGCTCTATGTCAGCACATCTAGCTAATTATTGATACGAATCATAATTTTATTTTTTTGTTTATTTCATGCTTTGTTAACATAAAGCAGAAGCATCAGAAATTAACATTCCTACTGTGTCACAGAAGCAAATTTTAATATCAGGGCCTCAAACTTTAAGTGAAGCAGGAGCCACACTGCTTAATTCCAAAAAGAACCCCATTTAATCATATTGGCTTTGATGGATGTGTGGTACTACTGAGGAATAGTTCTGGAAAAAAACCAACAAAAAACCAAAAAAACCACACCCACCACTTTCACTAAATATTATACACAAACGTTTTCTAATCTATATACACTTTGGTAACGTAGAGATTATTAATAATCGTACATACGTAGATTCACATCAAATCTCATGGAAACTTATAGAAAACACATGCTGCCAGCATAGTAGCAAAATAAAACAGATGAATCTCATGAAGTTTTTTAGCAATATTATCTCTGGTGTGTGTTATACATTCCATGACATAAGTTCAGAATTAACATGAAGGTTTTGTATAATTTTCCCTGCATAAATAGCTGTTATAATAGACTGGATAGTCTAGTATACACAAAACCTAGCATGGAAACCTAGCTTGGGACCAGAGGGTAGTGATCAGTGGCACAAAGTTGAGTTGGAGGCCAGTAACTAGCAGTGTACCCCAGGAGCCAACACTTGGTCAATCCTATTTTAACATCTTCATTTATGGTCTGGATGATGGGGCAGTGTGCACCCTCAGCAAGTTTGCTGATGACACTAAACTGGGAGACATGGTTAATATGCCAGAGGCTTGTGCTGCCACCCAGAGCAACCTCAACAAGCTGGAGAAATGGGCTGACAGGAATCTCATGAATTTAAACAAGGTGAAGCACAAAGTCCTGTACCTGGTAAGGAACAAATTCAGGCACCAGTACAAACTGGGACCACCCATCTGGAAAGCATCTTTTTGGAAGAGAAGATGGGGCTCCTGCTGGACACCAACTTGAAAATGAGTCAGCAATGTGCCCTTGCTGCAAAGAAAGCTAATGGTGCTGCATTAAGAGTATTGCTGCCAGCAGATCAAGATCCTTCCCCTCTACTCAGCACTGGTGAGGGCACATCTGGAGTGCTGGGTCCAGTTCTGGGCTTCTCAGTGCAAGGGAGACATGGACATACTGAAAGAGTCCAACAAAGGACCACCAAGTTGACTATAGGTCTGGAGCATCTCTCCTCTGAGGAGATGCTGAGAGAGCTGGGTCTGTTCAGCCTGGAGAAGAGAAGAGTCAGGGAGTATCTTCTCAATGCCCTTAAATGCCTGAAGGACAGGTGCAATGAGGAAAGAACCAGGGTCTCTCCAGTGAATCCCAGTGACAGGACCAAAAGTAATTAAGCTCTCTCACAGTCTCTGTAAAATCTGTATCTGCTCTCCCACTGTCTACCAAGAACTTTTACTTGGACATTCAGAGAATTATACTAGATGATAAATGGAACTAAACATTAATACTGGAGGTAATACTCTCATTCACAAGTGTTATCTTATTTATCTCAAAAAGTGATCAACACAGAGAATTACTTCTGAAGGTTAGTCAAATTTCCTAGTTTCTAATGAATCAATAAAAAGTGTATGAAATTAAGATTATTAAGATAAAATCTATTAAAAAAAATTTGCATATCAGCTAAGGTGCAAATTCATAGAATGCAAAAGAGTAACAGAGGCAATTTTAAAGGAATTATTATTGTAGAATTGAAATTACTGGATTGAACATTCTAAAATTAGTGAAAATTTACAGTGGTGTTCTATGAGAAAATTTAGCCCAGACAGCTTCCATTATTAAACCCCAAATCCATGGGGGAAAGTTTTACTAAAACCTCCCAGGTAACTAAGTGCCTGTGGGGGAAAAAAGAACACTTGTCCAATCTAATAATAGGAAGTAAATAGCTATAGCTTCTGCTCTTCAAGCAGAAAAGAAGACCCTCAAAAATACCTGTATGACTTCTTTTGAACTTTCCTTTCAGTGTATTTGCTACCTATGAGCTACTGCAGGGAGGAAAACCCACTTAAAATTCCTTTTTAAAGAATCAGTAACATGTCCACTTCTTTCCTTTTTCAGGTTGTTCTGATGCTTGAGAAAAAATTACTTTTGAGGAGCAATTGAAAAGATCTTTCTGTCTTTCTGATGTGCAAGCCACAGCTCCTACGGAGAGAAACACCGTGTCAAAAGGAACCCTGTTTGAATAGTAGTTCGTCTTGATTTTACACCAGAACAGTTCAAAAATACTTTCCTAAAGCTCTGGAAGTTACATTTCCTCAATGGTATAGAAATCTATTTATCGATTTCAAGTTGCAGTCATAAAATAAGGGACTGGCAGAGTCCAAAGTATTATGAAACCTCACGTGTAGAAGCACACTGCACTTCCAGCTTTTTTTTTGATATATTTTCTAACATGCATTTATACCTTGCTGTTTTTTTCATTGTTCTGCAGCTTCAAGGTACATCTACATTTCCTGTGCGTGGTATCCCTTAATACATGTTATGTACTACTTTGCTATCCTTGTTTCCCTTAACACCAGTTTTATCCTGCCAGGTGCGACGGGACAATCCCTCAGCATTATGTTTGTTTAGATGACTTTATGCCAATCTGTGATTTTGATTCAAGATAAAATACAGTTTCTGTGGAAAGTAGAAATGCTACCCACATCCTTCAAATAACTCTGTCAGTCTGTGAGACTCTGAAATGCCTACTTAAGTAGTCTGATTATGTCAGAACTCAGTCTTCATTATGCAGACTTTATTCCCCAAAATTTGCTGCAGACTTTATTCCCAAAAAATTTGCAGCAGTGTTTAAGTGTTCTACCTGTGATCCTGAAATTATTATTATTATTTTTATTTATTTTTACTTTCTTAATTTAATGTGAAAAGGGTGAGTCAGTTCTCCCCCATACTGCCTATTAAAGTGACAGTTGTTACTAGGCATCATATATTATGGTCTTGTTGAAATAAATACCCTCTCTTATATATGCTTATTTATTTCCCTTTTTATAATATGCTCTGTGAACTCTTTTCTACATTTTTAGTTGATATGCACTTTAAAGTTTTCACTATATCCAGAAACAAAAATGCTGAGGTGTTTAGAAACTACAGCCAGAAAACGTGACAAAATTCTTCAATGCATTCGACAAGTTGTCATTCCCAATTGGCCGTCTATAAGGTTTGTCTTGCACCTCACAGTAAATAGTATTGGCTATTTATTTCTAGCAGAGCCCATGCTGGCCAGTAACTGTGTTTGGCTTCAAAAAATACTCTCAGAGAATTTGTTTCTCACAGACCATTAGGCTAAATATTAAATAAAAAATAATAAAGGGCGGGGAGTAGGGGGTGGGGGGTGGAAAGAAGGAAACTCTGACCTCAACTGTTGATTGTAGCTGATGTAATACATATTACTGCAAGATTAGAGGCATTTCTACATAGATAAGAAGAGGTGTCATCAATTCATTAAGTCAGGCAGTCTCCGTTGCACAAATGGCAGGAAGAAGAATGAGGTGTCTGTGGTGTGCATTAGTAATGTTCAGTATTTCTTATCTTTTCTTTTCTTTTTTTTCTCAAGAATTCCTAAACCTATAAAAAATTACTTTCACAGCAAAACATGAAAGTGACAATGTTCTCTTCTGTTAAATATATGTTACTGTCTATTTATTTCTGTGAATTGAAATGCCAATGTGCAAGCAATAAGATTCTGGTTCAAGAAAATAAGTAAAATAACTGCTAGACTACTACAGCCACTGTTCATGAGCTGCAGAAATGAGTGGATATGACAGAGATACAGTGGTTATTTTATTACTTTTCTAACATCATTATACTGTTTTCTGAGATTGTTAAACATTTTCTGTAAGAAATTTTACTCACACATAGAAGCTTACAATTGAGTTAAGTTACTGAAGGCAAAGCCTAACAACAAACAGAAAGAAAACAAAATTATCTTTGACAACCCTAGCACTGTTGATAAATCATGCATTCATTTCATATTTCTCTTTTTTAACTGTAAACACTGCTTTACCAAGCTGAAAGAAAAGGTAAAGATGAAGCTCATCACTCCCAGCTCTCACCCTTACAATCTACTGACTCACAGCCATGCTGACTGATGCAGAAGTTAAAGCTGCAAAGGTTAATCAGTAAGCGTGGCTCTTAGGCAGCAGCTGTTAGCAATAGAGAAGAGTAGATGGGCTTGATCAGTGGTCAGTCTCAAATGCTTCTTTATGAATAGTACACTCTGTGCTAGCTCAGGAATGGCAATACCTATGATGGACCTGGAATGAGAACACATGATCATGCATTTCCCAGGCACAATACTATAGCCTCTTTCTGTAGAAAACTGTCAGTCCCTAGAAGATGATGGGAAGAGCTTGTGGCTCTTGATGATCCAGCTCTGGGAAGGATTTCAAAGTTACTGGCTCTCTAGAACCTTATTTTGAATCCCAGAAGCAGCTATATGCTATTACTTATATTCAGCCCAGGTTTAACAGTAATCTACTATTCTTTGCAGGAGCTTTTAAGAGCCCCTTTTCTTGCTAACACATGTAATTCTGACAATATTCCATGAAAATCAGTGTAAGATTTTTTTATTTCATGTAAATATGGAGTTTGCACATAGAAAAAAGGAGGGAGAGAGAGGAAAAGAAGAAACGATGGCAAGCAAGCAGGTCCATACGCAGCACCAGGACCTTGACTCCACTCTATACAGAACTTACAGGCAGATGTAATCCTTACTTTATTAATATGAAAGAGACACACCCCCTTGTGCTCTCTTCTACACTTCTCCCTCTCCCCCTTTTTTCCTAACATTTGAAGATAATTCTATCTCTACTCAGTCACCTTTGCTGTAAGTCCCTTTAAACTGTAATTGGATCATCTGCCAGAACCTTTGTCAGAAGAATTCCTGGAGATGTTACTCCTATCTGACAAAGTTGAGAGTTGCTGCATTAACAAAGGGCTGACTAAAGGTATGATTCTTCTTTACAAATCCTGGTTTACCAGCAACTACTTTTATGCCCTGTAATAAGAATAAGCACACTTGTAGGGTCATGTTCATGTTTTTTTATTTCCTGTCAAATTAGACTCTGTATTTATGAATATCATAATGTGTGTGCATCTTCAGATCTTAGCCTGCACTCTTGCCACCCTCAAGTATAGAGATCTCAAATGTGTAGGCACCATTTGAACTAATTTCCACAAATTAGTTTCATTTCTGCACTGTCCTGCTCTACATGTGGCTCTTAGTCACATACAAGTCATACGTAAACATTTCAACATTTAGTAATAGCACGCATCAGATTAACTTCATCTTTCCTACATATTTAACAGAAAAGCTGAACAAAAATCCCAAGACAAAAATAAACCTTTGCCTCTAGTTTCAAGAGAACACTTTAAAAAAAGTTCTTTTAATTAGTAGCATGAATGATAGGTGCTGACTAAGGAACACATGATAGAAAACATCCTTTGCACCCTTCTTTGCAGCATTCTCATTATCACCTTTAGTTAAATGCATTTACCAGCCAAAGGCAGCTAGTCAAGAGACTTGTGGAAGGCCCTTAATTCTGGAACTCGGCAAGAACAATGTGTGTGTATGTTATTAGGAAGAGGGAGTTTTATCAGTAATTCCTCTTCTTTATTGAGCACTGAGTAGTTGCTGCAGAAACAATCTCAGAGGCCACCCCTGTCTCATACAGTCACCTTTCAGTGAAATCATGAAATGATTTTTAAATGTTCATATTTACCAATTCTGAAAGACTACTGATAGCTTGATTTTTTTATTTTTTATTTTTTTTAAGGAGGATTACTTTTAATATGTTTCTGTATAGAAGTGCTCAGTGTAAGAATATTCAGGCAATTGTTACAAAGTCCTTCAGCAGCAAAAATGTTCAGATGTTTATGGCCTTGTGTATTGGAAAAAGCATGTCCAGCTAGCACTGGCTGGTACAGAAGCTTGCTGAAAATGGAGTATTTCCATTTGTCACTGAACTGCTGTCTGCTCAAATGCTCTGGCAGCTCAATCCCACTCTGTCTTTTTTTATGGGAACTTCCAAAAAAGAATGCAGTCAGACTAAACCAGTTTTCATAACTGTATAATTGCTATGCATAGAACCTTCTTCCACCTGACTTCTATGCTAAACAGTAAACTTAAAGAAAGATCATTTTGACAATTTGTCCTGGTTTCAGCTACAGCAGTCATTTTTGTCTTTCTTAGTAGCTGGTGCAGTGCTGACTTTTCAACTTTAGTGTGGGAACAGTGCTGATAACACCAGTGTTTTTAGTTCTTACTAAGTAATGTTTACTCTAATCAAGGACTTTCTCAGTCTCATGCTCTGCCAGGGAGGAGGGGAAGCCAGGAGGAAGCAGAGACAGGACACTTGACCCAAACTAGCCAAAGGGGTATTCCATACCACAGCATGTCGTGCCCAGTATATAAATGGGGAGTTACCCGGAAGGCCCAGATTGCTGCTTGGGTTGGGCTGGGTGTCAGCTGGCAGGTGGTGAGCAGTTATATTCTCTCCCCTTGTTATTTCCTGTATCATTATTATTACTGGTGGTAGCAGTAATGGTCTGTATTATACCTTAGTTACTGGACTGCTATTATCTCAGCCCATGGGAGTTACATTCTTTTGATTCTCCTCACCATCCCTCCGGGAGCGGGAGGAAGAAGAAAGAGGGGAGTGAGCAAGCGGCTGCGTGGTTCTGAGTTGCCAGCTGGGCTTAAATTATGACACAATTATTTGAAGAATTACTATTGCATAAATGTTATGTCCTGGCTCTGGTTCTGCATTAGGATATTTTTGGTTTTTTTTAATTTAAATTTTCCTGCAGCAAAATGAACACATGATAAAGGCATAAACAATTTTAAAATAAAGAAAAAAAAACCCCAAACCTAAACAATTTAAAATCAAGCAATGTTACAATTGGGTGTCTCAGAGTTAGGGACCAGAACCTTAAGAAAAATCCAAATTGAGATAATTTTATTTGCAAACCTCCTTCCACTATAACCTTTCCAAATTCTTGTCAATTTATTTTTGTCTTGCTCATCATTGTAGCAAATATAAAGAGGAGGAGTAGTAGTTGAAGTTGTTTGCAACAGAGAGAAAAACCACAAAGCATTTAAAATAGAACAAAGCAATTCAGCACCAAAATTTAGTGTTATTGGCTGCATCGTTAGAGCTGCAACGTAACTTTGTACAAAATCTGCAGTGCATGCCCTTTTTGTGAGGCATCAAATACTACCTTGGATATAAAGTTCATTCCCTCTGTTAGTTTCTGACTGCTTTAATTTTTAATTGTTATAGTCAGCTGTACAGAGGTGTCACAATATTTAACAAAGCCAACCTCTTTGCCCTCTACAATGGATGGCTGTAATGACGTAAGTTAATACACTAACAGGCCTAGATTTCCCTGACCATCCTCACCTGGGACACCACCTGCAGGCCTGGGAGTCAGAATCATAGAATGGTTAGGGTTGGAAGGTACCTTAAAGGTCATCTAGGTCCAAGCCCCCTAATGTAGTCAGGGACATCTTCTGCTAGACCAGGTTGCTCAAAGCCCCATCCAGCCTGGCCTTCAACATTTCCAGGGATGAGCACCCAGAACATTGTGACTTTTAAATACAAATTAAAATTTAAAAATCAAAAGGATAAAATTTAGTTTATGTTTAATGGGACCAAGATTTACACTCAGAATTCTCTGAATTTATTTTTGTAGCTGGGTCTTCTTGATTACTGCATATGAAATTAACAATTCATAAATGTATTACAAAGCTTTATTTAAAAAAAATAAAACCAAAAACAAACCCCCAAAAAAACAACCAAATAAAAAAACCCGAAACACAACAAAACCAGCCAAATATATTATTTTAGGTAATGAAACTACTTGGCCAGATAGCCAAAATGAAAATGCATGGTGCCTGAAAAATAAGCTAATTTGTAAAGCCTGCTTGTATTTATGCTAACAGAAGCAGCTGATCTCAGTAGAGATTTTTTTTTTGTTACAACTCTAATGCTCATTACGTACCTTCCTTACATAATGTTTTACCTAATTTTCAGCAGATATATAAAATCTTATAAAATGGCTTTGCTTCTTTGCCATAATAAATGTTCACAAATCATTTTAGTCCATTTTTTTTGTTCAAATTCAACAGAGTTTATTGAACTGTGTATTTTATATTGA